TATATATATATATATATATAGATATAAATAATGAAATTATTCTTATGCTAATGACTGTAGCCACGATAAAACTACTGATCTGAGTTTATCTTGACTAAATTAGATGATCTGACCTTATGGAAACATTGCACAAGTTTAATTTGATGAATACAGGCTATTCAAAGAATGCACAAAACACACACAAAAGAATAGTACATTTCATAATAAATTTTAATTCAATCTTTCTGGAGTTACCTCCCTTTAACCTTTAACAAACATTAAGCAAACCGTTTCATTTATATTCTTGTAGATGATGAATTGAAAAATATCGAAATGAATTACCACAAAAATACCTAAACACACGGAAACTATTGACTTAGCAATAAAATGACCCGAAGTAAAATGTATCTAATCAATATTCATAAATGACAATTCCAGAATATTTTTAGAAATAGTACAAAATTTAATTGACATCAATTACAATACAGAATCATTTTATTTAGAACTTGAACTTCTGCGAAGCGTATAGGTGTTATACCACGTGATATGTTAAACAACAATTGCAATGTTTAATCGATGACTTGTAAATTGTATAACATACAGAACAACTTCTATGAATCTTACTTCGCTGATTCGATTTTCGCGAGGTATCAAAGTTTTTTTCACGGACCGTTAGCTAAGATAACATAGTCATTTACACCTCATGATGCGAACCAAACATTTCCGCCCCGCGACAAAATTTCCACACATTTCAACAAAGAGTGCTATCCGACATTACGATAGCCCGCTATCACTGGCTCTGTGTAGTGTATGTAACTTTTGGTAGAGACATTGTACACAGTAAAATTTACCTCCTCCCCGTGAAGATATTTGAAGCCGGGGCCTTGGAATGCACAATTTTTCATCCATATCTACAATGTAAGTGTTGATAAGAAGATTTTAAAATGTTTAATTTTCCCCCAACTGGTCCTCCTGTGGGTGTCAGCCAGGATCAACATAGGCTTACCATCAATCCTAAGCTAATAGTTCTCATTAAGGTTGAATTAAACCGAAGTAAACTTTACCCACTACTCAGCGGGAAATGTGAGATCATTGTGCCAAACAATTCACAGTTTTGCTAATTAAAAGGACCTTGTTACTCTTCCATCAATGAAAAGTATTTGATTGAACTGTGTATATGTGTTGAGAAGATTAAAAGAGTTTTGATTTTTTGTCCATTTGAGCACTTTTGGCCTCGCTCCTCCAGACCCTGGTGACTAGGGGCAACATATGTCATAATTTGGGTTCATCTTTGTCCATGAAATGTTTCTACAAAATTTTATCGAAATTGAAACATGGGTTCTAGAGTAGACAATTTGACAAAAGACCTATTGACTTATACTAATAAGCATTGCATAGACGGATTAAATTGACATCAGGTCAATCGTTTGATAAAGATGTATCTATGGTGAGGTCGAACTCATTTTTATTCACAAACTGCATTCCTGTCGATTTTACCAGGTTTGTTCCGTGCGGAATATATTTATTTGAAATAAATCCAAAACGTTGACAACAAGAAAGTACCATTGCCCACAAATATTTCTTCCATAAAACTTTCGATTCAAAATAAAATTTTAAACCCATAAATAGTTTTAATGAGCCAAACGGTAAACTAAAAAATCATATCAAACTAGAAAAATCCCGCAATACCATTACCTCCATCCAACTCGTAGAAGTTTCAAAAGTTATAGACAAGAAACTAGGTCATGAAATGATATTATACTTAAGCTTTAGAAAATCAGTTTAAACACCATCTGTGAGAGACTTCATTCAGATGTGCAGTGTCTAATCATCATGTTTATGGTCTAAGGGGAAGTAACTCCATAAATACTGAGGTAGTATACTAGATATACTAGATCTACGGAACCTCTCTGCTTTTATGTGCTTATATACACATTCGGAACCTCCATGTTGCCACAGCAGTGTTTATAATCTCGAGAGGTAGCGATCAGAATAACTTAAACATTACACTTGAATCACGTGATTCAGTAATGAGGATGTAAATAATACAATTAAAATATGACATTTGGAACCTCTCGTGATATATATCATGTTAACAATTATAATATCATTTATAAACAGTGGCGTAGCCAGGATCTAAAGTTGGGGGGTGGGGGTGGGTGGGAGGGGGGAGGGGCAAAAATCTGGCAACGCCGGCGAAGCGAGGCGAGGGGTTTGGGGGCCCTCCCCCAGAAAATTTTGAAAATTTGGGCTCCATTTCCTGCATTTTGAGCGTATACTGAAGAAAAATAACGCTGGGATCAGTCGATATAATGTATTGAAATAAATCAAAGTGGGGAAAGATACAAATGGAAACAAAATAATGTCGGACTACATGTACATAACACCCTCCCCCCCATAAAAATATGACTGATTTTAAATGATTTCGTGACGTCACTAATCGATTGATACAGTATAAGGTACGTAAATGAATTCAACGCAAAAAAATATGACTGATTTAAAATGATTTCATGACGTAACTAATCGATTGATACAGTATGAGTTACGTAAATGAATGCAACACAAAAAAAATATGACTGATTTTAAATGATTTCGTGACGTCACTACTCGAATAAAACAGTATAAGTTACGTAAATGAATTCAACGCAAAAAAATATGACTGATTTTAAATGATTTCGTGACGTCACTAATCGATTGATACAGTATAAGTTACGTAAATGAATTCAACGCAAAAAAATATGACTGATTTTAAATGATTTCGTGACGTCACTAATCGATTGATACAATCGATTGATACAGTATAAGTTACGTAAATGAATTCAACACAAAAAAATATGACTGATTTTAAATGATTTCGTGACGTCACTAATCGATTGATAAAGTATAAGTTACGTAAATGAATTCAACGCAAAAAAAATATGACTGATTTTAAATGATTTCGTGACGTCACTAATCGATTGATACAGTATGAGTTACGTAAATGAATTCAACGCAAAAAAATATGACTGATTTTAAATGATTTCGTGACGTCACTAATCGATTGATACAGTATGAGTTACGTAAATGAATTCAACGCAAAAAAATATGACTGATTTTAAATTATTTCATGACGTCACTACTTGATTGATAAAGTATGAGTTACGTAAATGAATTCGATGCAAAAAAAATATGGCTGATTTTAAATGATTTCGTGACGTCACTTTCGATTGATACAGTATAAGTTACGTAAATGAATTCAACGCAAAAAAAAATATGACTGATTTTAAATGATTTCCTGACGTCACTACTTGATTGATAAAGTATAAGTTACGTAAATGAATTCAACGCAAAAAAATATGACTGATTTTAAATGATTTCGTGACGTCACTAATCGATTGATACAGTATAAGTTACGTAAATGAATTCAACGCAAGAAAAATATGACTGATTACAAATTATTTCATGACGTCACTACTTGATTGATAAAGTATGAGTTACGTAAATGAATTCGATGCAAAAAAAATATGGCTGATTTTAAATGATTTCGTGACGTCACTAATCGATTGATACAGTATAAGTTATGTAAATGAATTCAACGCAAAAAAAATATCACTGATTTTAAATGATTTCCTGACGTCACTACTTGATTGATAAAGTATAAGTTACGTAAATGAATTCAACGCAAAAAAAATATGACTGATTTTAAATGATTTCGTGACGTCACTAATCGATTGATACAGTATAAGTTACGTAAATTAATTCAACGCAAAACAAATATGACTGATTTTAAATGATTTCGTGACGTCACTACTCAAATGATACAGTATAAGTTACGTAAATGAATTCAACGCAAAAAAAAATATGACTGATTTTAAATGATTTCAGGACGTCACTAATCGATTGATACAGTATGAGTTACGTAAATGAATTCAACGCAAAAAAAATATGACTGATTATAAATTATTAGATGACGTCACTACTTGATTGATAAAGTATAAGTTACGTAAATGAATTCAACGCAAAAAAAATATGACTGATTTTAAATGATTTCGTGACGTCACTTTCGATTGATACAGTATAAGTTACGTAACTGAATTCAACGCAAAAACATATGACTGATTTTAAATGATTTCGTGACGTCACTTCTCGAATGATACAATATAAGTTACGTAAATGAATTCAACGCAAAAAAAAATATGACTGATTTTAAATGATTTCGTAACGTCACTACTCGAATGATACAGTATAAGTTACGTAACTGAATTCAACGCAAAAAAAAATATGACTGATTTTAAATGATTTCAGGACGTCACTAATCGATTGATACAGTATGAGTTACGTAAATGAATTCAACGCAAAAAAAATATGACTGATTACAAATTATTTCATGACGTCACTACTTGATTGATAAAGTATAAGTTACGTAAATGAATTCAACGCAAAAAAAATATGACTGATTTTAAATGATTTCGTGACGTCTCTACTCGAATGATACAGTATAAGTTACGTAAATGAATTCAACGCCAAAAAAAATATGACTGATTTTAAATGATTTCAGGACGTCACTACTTGATTGATAAAGTATAAGTTACGTAACTGAATTCAACGCAAAAAAAATATGACTGATTTTAAATGATTTCCTGACGTCACTACTTGATTGATAAAGTATAAGTTACGTAACTGAATTCAACGCAAAAAAAATATGACTGATTTTTAATGATTTCCTGACGTCACTACTTGATTGATAAAGTATAAGTTACGTAACTGAATTCAACGCAAAAAAAAATATGACTGATTTTAAATGATTTCCTGAATAATTAATCATTTTTTTCAAATAAGAGTATTAGTTACCTGAACAAATGCTTGTGGTAATTCTTTGGTACTTAAGGCAGTATGGGGGACTTTCCCCATGATATGAGTTACATAATATAACTGTAGATCGCCAATCGAAATCGAGAATGTCGGGTCACGAAATGTTTTGAATTACATCACGGTGGTTTTGCAAAGTTTAAGATACATTCTGATAAAAAGTAAGACAGATATCAGCAGTTTCCAAACGAGTTCGAGGAGACAGCGTAGACTCTGTCAGTGTTCACAGAGACACCTGGTCTTAAATACACCATCAACAAAGTCTTTTCACTTTTCATCATATTATTGGCTTTGGCGAATTCAGTCGCAGACGAGTTCTGATGGGGACTGGAGAATCCTACGATCTGTCCTGGTATATGTTTGACTAAGTTACGAACGATCGCTTTAGCAATGTCTTTATCATCAGCGTAAAGCGGAGCGATCTGATTGCACGAATCTTGTGACCGAAGTACACCATAACCACATACTTTGTTATTCCGCACGGCAACATAGGCCTTTGACTGGTCATGATGAATCCAATTCCTTATATATACCTCGCGTGGAACTTTGTGGATTTCTGCATCGTAAGATAAAAGGTCGGACATATCGATATCCGAAACAGATAGAACTTGGAAATTTTCCTCAGTACAAGGTTTTAAAGTGTCGGGGTTGATGAGTCCGTAATTATACCAGGTGCTGTATGATTTTTGGACGCTAATACCATAGCGTTCCTTAATCTTATCAACATAATGAGACCAGATAAAGGTACCGATGTTTGTACCTATAGGAAATCTGGTACAGAGTTCTCCAAACAACTGATGACCTACCTGATCATCCTGGTAACTTTTGTCCACTACCCACAATCCCATGTTGGTCATGGACGGACCATGTGCAAGAAAACCATGGCAACCTTGAAATATGAAAATTTATTTGTTAACATTGTCCCCAATGAAGCTGAATGTATTTAATTTTACAACATTATGCCGTTCTCGAAAGAATTAATATATATAATTTCTTTCCAAATTCTTTTTTGACAACTTGCCTAGGTACGCTCGACCTGCTCATTCGAACTCTTCCACATGGTTTCATTACCCACTGACCTTTGACCCCTATTTTTCAATCATTGTCATTAGTCCAGACAAGTCCCCGTGGCTTGTTATATGCAACAATATAATTATCTAAGAATTTAGTAGGAGTTGTCTCCCTTGTAACAACGATTTCTTATAGCATCGATGCTGAACTTTGAAATGATTTATTTAAATTATACAATATCAGGTGTATAAAAATTGACGTGTTCATCATCATCATCATCATCATCATCATCATTATGATCATCATCAACAACATCATCATCATCACTGTTTACCGATGAGTTTTTTTGACGGTGTTTCTGCCACTACGAATCCCCGGGGGTCAGTCTTGATTGCGCAGTCTAGATACGCCTTTTCCATGTTCCAGTCCAGCACAGTCAGTAACTCGTGAACCTTCGGCAGATCTTCTTTCCTCATATCTCTCACACAGAAGTTAGCACCAGACCTAGCAGACAGCCTGCCATTACAAAAAAAATGATTTTCTTTAAATTCACCACATTGAAAATCGAAAATTGAACTTTCTTTGTTAGGTATGTTTTCATATTGACAATCATGACTACCTGATAACACGTTATACCACTGTGAAAGGGTGCCGTATATAACACACCTGATAACATGTTATACCACTTTGAAAGGGCGCCATATATAACACACATGATAACACGTTATACCACTTTGAAAGGGCGCCATATATAACACACCTGATAACATGTTATACCACTTTGAAAGGGCGCCATATATAACACACCTGATAACACGTTATACCACTTTGAAAGGGCGCCATATATAACACACATGATAACACGTTATAACACTTTGAAAGGGCGCCATATATAACACAAAAGAAACCAATTTCATGACTGTTACAACAACAAAAAAATCACATATTCACTTTGATATGCCACGATACACGTTTTACTGCCTTGTTAATTGTAATTTAAAGCTAATGAAATTTATTTGTTTATTTTTCAAAGAAAAAATAAATACATGAAGCTATATAATGATGAAGTAATTAAGTATGACAATTGAATAACATAATGTAAGATCTCGTTCTTTATATGTTTGTATAAACCATGCTGTAAAACTTTTTCCTCGTTTTATTGACCGATGGACCGTAAGGCTTGTAAAGACGAAAATTGAAAAGCGTTTTTGTCTACAGGGTTGGGTGTTGTCTACTTGGTTGGTTGTTGTCTACAGGGTTGGTTGTTGTCTACAGGGTTGGTTGTTGTAGTATATATCATGACCAATTGTGGTCCAAGTTGTGGAAATCGGCAGTAAGAGGACGGATGCTCAATGTTATCAAATCTATATACGAGAGTGTTAAGGCATGTGTAAAGCTTCATGGTAAATTATCACCTATGTATGATTTAAAGGTCGGATTGTTACAAGGGAAATCTTTATCCCCAATAATGTTTTCTTTAGTTGTCAATGACCTGGAATCTGAATTGATTAATACAAATTGTCAAAGTTATTATTTGCAGCTAATTAATTTGTTTTTAATTATGTACGCCGATGACACGGTATTGTTTTCTGAGGACGTAGTTGACCTCCAAAATATGTTGGATTTCTTAAACACTTATTCTCGACTTTGGAAATTAGATGTAAATGTAGACAAAACAAAAATAATTGTATCCAAACGAGAAGTGGTGGTTTGATGGCCAAGTTATAGAAGTGGTAGACGCCATATTGACAGAGAAGAATGACTATTTGGTTGGTTATGCTTACTGGTTTGGTTGGTTGTGTAGTGGGTTGGTTTTTCCGCACAGAGGTTATGTCGGTTTTACATCATGGGTTTTTGCCTCCAGTATCCAAAACAACCTTTTGTTACCTTAAAAGTTCTACATAACCCGATTGTTGAAATTCGTTGTTAAATAGAGGTTACTATTCGTTTCATAGAACGATCGGCATAAGGTGATATTTCTGATACTGAATTCTACGGATTCTATATAATCTGACGGTTTCTAGTTGAACGCTCTGCAAGGCGTTTGACAGTCTGCCGAAAACTCTGACTAACAAACAACGTTTATATTGAATCAAGTGTATCCTTACTAACTTAATATTTCATTTTTCCGGTTAATTCACACCAAATTCGTATGTAATTCATTTGAACGTAATAATATCAATACCTTGTTAAAAATCTTAAAGCAAGACTTGCTCCCAAAATTCTTACAAGAAAGAAGTTTACTGGTTTTGAGCTCCGTGATATATGAAAAGTCATGTTTCGGCATATCAAGTTGTTTATAATATTCAATAATCAATGACCCGTGACATTTCGTGATAAAAAAAAACTAAAAACTTGAAGATGCGACTTAGCTCGCTTAAAAAATACTTACAGAAATTAACATCTATTTGCTCAATGTAAATATAGAAAACATCGTTCTACACAACCATTATACTGCGAGAAAAAGAAATTGCTAAAAAAGGAATACTTTAAAATATGAAGCCGACGCCGCTTCTGTCATCGATGGCGAGGTGGCTTTATTAAATGTATCAACTCTCCCATCTCTCCTCCACTTTCCTTCGAACAGGCGAGCTTAAATTACAATACAAGTACATGTGTGTCTGGGCTTCAATCTATTATAGCATTCAAAACACAAATACATAAGTACACACACACTCACCTATAAGCATGCAGGCAAAAATATGTACGTACTTAAGGACAGACAGATACAGACAGAAAAATAACATCAGAATAATTTGTAATCACTCTATAGATTATCCTGATACATATCAACATACCTTGCGATGGGAAATCTTACGCTGTGCCAGTGTCGTGCCTTCAATAAAATCCTCATAACTGTTTCTTTATCTCTCTGCGTGTAGGTTTGTAGTTATGTTCGCCTGAAAGTGTACACCTAAATTTATATAGCACGAGGGATGAACTGCGTATTTGATTGGTTATTTACAAGACGAGTATATGATTCACTGACCTAGCCCTGTGTTATTTCACCACTGGAAATTCCTTAATTGAGTCTAATATATATTTATATTATCTGTCACATATCATAATTACGATGTTCATAGAAGTACAGGGGGCCAATGCACTCCACCTAATAGATTTTGGCACTTATTTCTGTTAATTAAGATTTGCTTCTGTCGCCTCAAAAATTTCAAAATTTAGTCCAGAAGTATCACATGCCTTGAGTGATAAATATACCCTAACTTGTGTTCTAGCTTAAAACGGTTTGAAAACAGTGAAAAATTCCCTTTTTATTACTTAGTAGAGTTTAACCTCACCTAACGACCACCTCAAAATTACGACCAAATTTTTCAGTCACGTTTTTTTCACTATATATCTTTGTATTGGTCGTTTCAGTATTACGACCACCCCTCTATTACGGGCACTTTTTCAGTCACGTTTTTTTCACTATATATCTTTGTATTGGTCGTTTCAGTATTACGACCACCCCTCTATTACGGGCACTTATTTTAGTCACGTTTTTTTCACTATATATCTTTGTATTGGTCGTTTCAGTATTACGACCACCCCTCTATTACGGGCACTTTTTTTAGTCACGTTTTTTTCACTATATATCTTTGTATTGGTCGTTTCAGTATTACGAACACCCCTCTATTACGGGCACTTTTTTTAATCACGTTTTTTTCACTATATATCTTTGTATTGGTCGTTTCAGTATTACGAACACCCCGCTATTCCGTATATGGTTTGTTGAGTGGTGCTTTAGCAACTCATGTGCCTTTCATCGAGACGTCCAATGTTTGATTTGCTGTACGGACTTATAAAGGTATGGAATCCCCTGCCTGATAATACCTCCCTCAGAAAACTCACGATAGAATTTTAGTGAGTGAACCTGAACTGAGCTTCATGCGTTTCCATCAGGGAAACAAGAGTGATTATTATAAGATAGAATAGTTTGTTTAGTTGTACAATAGATAATGTTCTGTTATATATATATATACATCTTAATGATTTTGTACATCGTATTGTGTACAATAGTGTTCAACATTCAGCTGAATTAACATATCTTAATAAAGTAACATACAGATAATGATTAAGGTACTGATATAAAATGTGTTAGCCTTTTTCACTGATAATGATTGATCGACACCAGTTGTTCAATGATCTATAATTACAACATAATTCTATACTTCTTTTAACAATTAATGACAGTTAAACTTTAAACTGATAACGATAAATCCAGATTTATGATATTTAGTAAAAGGTAAGATGATATGAAAATAAACCATTTATTTCATGTCATAACAATGTATTATTATTCCCATTAAAGTATCTACAACAGTGTCCATATTGTACACAGTGGAGCAACATAAGGCCATTTAGTGTTCGATAAAACAGATTAACATAATTACAGTTGTATGTTTTTTTCCTGAATCCTCTTTCTGACAGATGTTTTATGTATAATTGAATGATTGAATAAAATATTGTTAAGTCCAAATATTTGAATGTGTCGGAGTGGAACACTCGCGCGACACACTTCAAAACAGCTTGTAAACGTATATATGCTGACGTAAAGCTGAAAAAGAAAACATTTCGTTGTCTGTCTGTCGATCTAGCTTTCTATTTGTCGATCTGTCTGTCTGTCTGTCTGTCTTGTATATGTATATATATAAATATATAGTGATATAAAACATGCTGTCTCAATAGAGTTTGTACTCTCACATTTCGACTTTTGTTGTTATATAAGTATATATATGTATGTCTGTAATTCGGTAAAAGTTGACGGTTGACATGTCCTAATTGCTAATACATTTTGATATTCCATTCGCATTTAAAGTTTAAAAACATAGGCCCTTAGCACCACTACCGAGCGCTGGAAAGATGAAACAGCTGGTGATGTAGTGTAACTTATCCTAAATATGTATTTAACAGTGTTTTGTGTTTTTTGTCTTTATTATAACGTTCGTAAAATCACGTTCAACAAAGTGGATATTCTCTTAAAATTTAGGTCATTTGAAAACGTCTGTCGTAATATCGAAGTTGGGGTCACTTGTAATTATAGGATGTTGAAGCTCTTACGGTTTTCCTATCTATTTTAGAAGTGCGTCTATCCCCTCTCTATAAATAGCTTGACGTAGCATCCATAATGTACATATCTTGCTGTCTTTACGTGATTCCAGTGTGAAATATTCCTGTATTTGTTCATTTAGGAGAGGACTAAAGGAGTTTGTATAGCTGATGACCAATACTTTTGTTCATAAGCAATAAAATACGTTTAAAACAAAATAGGGAAACTCCCTCTCTATAAATAGTCTGACCTAGCATAGCGGTGGTGTGATGTGTTTCAAGCGTGAATTCAAATACGATAGAAATTTCCATGCGAACCGGCTTGAGTCATCAGTTTGAAATGGCGCGATATTCTGTCGCATCAACACAAATGTGAGAGTTTATCCTTCATCGGTAGATAATATTAGCACTATTTTTACATGTACATTAA